TTTTACTTATGTTGAGTTTAAATTCTTTATTCAAAACACGCATTGTGTTGAGGAAATAACCTTTATATAAAATTGAAACCTGATTAAAATTTTACGATGTACTGATCGAGCTTTTCTTTTTAATCCAATGAGAGAGCACTAATCCGCTTATTAAATAGTTTGACGGATTAAGTTGAATTGATTGGTTAATTTCTCGTCCAATGAGAGATTGTCAGGCATTGTTCATGGATTGAGCACTTTATTACTTCAAATCAAATAAAAAAAATAAAATTAAAAAAATTACTTTATTTCAAATACTTCTGAAACTTCAATGGTTCTAAATTAAATTTGTTTTTCTACAAAAGTTTCAACCTGAGAACGAATTAGTGCATCCTTGTAATACTTACAATTTTCATTTTGAATTCAAAGAAACAAATTGTATTGTGCTCGAGGTTTAAACCCATGTTTTATCACCCAGTCAACCAGGAACCAGGAAAATAAAGTGAGTTTTTACAAAACTTAAAATAACTGAGCTGGGATTATAAAAGAATTCACCGAAAGAATTTAAATTTGAATATAATTTAGATGTATTTTTATTTCAGGTATGTAGACAATACAGTATATAATATTAATATTAGCGCAATCAAATACCATAATTTTTCGATAAACAAGTGACAAAATCAAATTTAAAATTACCAATAGAACTTTCATTTTAACAACACATTTTGTTTTCAAATGAATGAAAGTATAATTATATTTTATTGAATTACAAAATGGTTTTCTAATTAGTTGATTAGTTATTAATGACGAGATGGCTCATTAGAGGAGTAAAAGTCCATTAATGATATAAGTTTTAGTTTTTTACAGAAGAAAGAAGAAAAACTTTATACAGAGAAGAAGGGAGTGTTATTAAATATACGTTAAACATACTAGATTCACAATTATACTCTTAGGCTTTTATCAGATTAACAAAAGGAAAATATCGAAATTTTTTGGATTTCTTACAGATACAAATTATCTCAATTTTCTACATTGTCTCTGCAGGGGCATAAATGCTCAACTTACTTTTACTTACATAGAATTCTGTAATTCCAAATTTTCAATTTTACCAACGAAAAAAGATTCAGGAAATCGAAAACTTTTAAAGGGAGTGATCGGCTATGTAAGGTAATTGAACTGAGTATGCAGTGTTGTGTGGAAAACTTCATATAAAACTTTTTAAAAGATCTGTAAATCCTGAGTTCGAGCGCAAATTCACGTCCAAAACTCATACTTTGGGGTTGGATACGTTTTCAGAATTGTTTTTTTTTTAATTATTAAGTAACGACGACGAAAAATAATGTAAAAAATATACAGTAATCTAATTAAATGGATAGGAACATATTTCTAAAAAGAAATTTGCCAATAAATCAATGCTAGAACCAATTATTTCGTTTTCATCACTATATTGAATTTCTTATTTTCTTTGAATTTATTCGTAGATTTCTTCAAATTCTTCAAATGTCGTCGTTTCAATGATAATTACAGAAAATCTGCAGAAACTCTCTGTGAATAATGAGAAACCAGAAAAACGAGAAAACAGAAACTAATAATTGAAAAAGATTTCTTTTTATCGATGATAAGATAATTAGTTTACTGTTGAGTTTTGTTTACATATTGTGTTGTCGTTATTTAATAATTTAAAAAAAAACGATTCTAAAAACGTATCCACCCCCAAAGTAGGAATTTTTAACGTCAAATTTGCCCTCAAACTCAGGATCTACAGATCTTTAAAAAGTTTAATATGTCTCAAATGAATCCTAAAGAAGTTTTCCACAACACTGCGTACTCAGTTCAACTACCTCCCTTTAAAGCTAGAAAACGCATCTACTGTCACTTGAAGTAAAACAAATAAAAATAATTCAGAATCAAGATGAATGAAAAACTAATAAATCTCCTGAAAGGAGAAAATTGAATTTTATTTTCCAATAAAACTTTTTACTTTCCCTAATATTAGTTAATTTAGCAAAATAAGAAAGTTCTCTTCTGACAGTCAATATCTTACGTTCAAACAAATCCAAGTAATCCGAAACAAAATTTAGCTTTCACCAACTTTTTGAGAACAGCGTTGTTATCATTAAAGAATTTGCGATAAAATTTCCTAATAAAAAAGACAATAAAACTGTGCCTGATTCGCTAAAAGAGTAATTGGAATGTCAGTTTAATGTCAAGCTACTATTTAGAATTAAAGATTTACTGGCCAACATTGATGAAGATATCCTTGTTTTCTATCTTAACATTAAAACTTTTCAATTGAGGGTCCCTGGGATACTGCTCAGAACAAAGATAATCATACCAGAGTGTCACTTATAAATTTGTATACAATAAATAGATAGAAAGATAGATGAATTAATAGTAATACAGATAGAAAGATAGATAGTAAGATTGTAATGAAAAGATGATAGATAGAATGAAATATAGATAGACATATATACAGATAGATTTATAGCACCCGGACTAAACAGGGCGAGATACCTTCGGTTTCTTCTATTTGAATTCAAGAATGTGTGTACTACATACAGTTTGAATTGTAATAAATATCGTGTAAAACATACTATCTGAGATTGTGCGTAATTGTGTCCCAGTTGAAATTTGTAGCTGATGTGTACCAGGATTGATACAGTTCCGGACGAAGTTTTAAGAGTACGGCATTTACTACACATGTTGGTCTATGATTAAAAAATCCTTAAATTCACAGAGTTGTTCTTAAATACTTTTTTATTTAAAACGCGAATGCTGAAGAAAAAAAATTAAGAAAGAAACGTCGAAAAAATGAGAAATAGGTCAGATTTTGACCGAAAGTCACAGCTTGCCAGGATATATATGGACAGAACTGAAAAATCTGCGTGATAGATAGATAGATAGATAGATAGATTGATAAAAAAGGATAGAAGGATATGTAGAATGTGCTTTATTAGGATTATACTGTATTGGAGTTAACTATACAATACACCTCGAAACCAAGGGGAATAGGTTTTACCTCTCCCTCTTTCAATTATAGATATCCTATACATTATATGGATAGGTAGATAAATAGATAATGATAGATAGAAATATAGATAGATAGATAGATAGATAGATAGATAGATAGATAGATATAGATAGATAGAAAGATAGATAGATAGATAGATAGATAGATATATAGATAGATATAAAAGTAGATAGATATATAGATAGATATAAAAATAGATAGATAGATAAATATATAGATTGGAATTGATTAATGTATAGGTGCAGAGGTGGAGAGATCATGAGACCAAAAATAGTAAAAAAATAAAATAAATATAAGACAATTATTGAGACAAACCAATCTGGTTTAAATGTATGGTGCATTGGATTTGATATTTTATGAAATTAGTAAACTCGTTGAACCAAGGGAGAGGAAAGCTACTACGTAGTTTTGTGCAGCTTTAAAATCAGCCATCCATCCTAAATACATGTTTACTTACCTTTTCATTCATTCAATAGATATCTACTGATCATTCATCCTTACATTTCTACTTTGTATCCATTCACATTTTAATTTTAATTTTACTTTTGTGCAAGATCATGTCAAGCTTAAAATATATAGAATAATTACCAACATTTTTTTCGCAATTACAGAAATTCATTTTATGCTTAAATCTTCTTTAGGTTTCTTTTCCATTCAATTTTTGCAATTGTGAGAATATATATATGAAGCTTATGAAAATAAGTATTTAAAATTCATTAACATAGTACGAAGTACGAAAACATTGTTGAAATAAATTGTTACGCGAGCCATGCTGCGTGTATAAAGTCTGCTTGTCACCCCTGTGTATTTCTGAGTTCTCCCTGAAAATCTGTACAGAATGTATTGTGAAAGAACTAGTTTTAGGAACTGTTTACAGACTAATCTGCAATCTGCAATCTGCAATCTGCAATCTGCAATCTGCAATCTGCAATCTGCAATCTGCAATCTGCAATCTGCAATCTGCAATCTGCAATCTGCAATTCTGTATTCTGCATTAAAATACTGGATGGTTTAAAATTATTAACACTGAATTTGATGAAATATTTAAAAATAACAAACAATTCATTAGAATTATCCATAACATTTTTTTCGTGAGATATCCATGGCATTCTGTAATTGTATGTAATTCTGTTTGTAATTTTATGTAATTGTATTTACTTCTGTATGTAATTTTGAAGAATACAATCGTAATTTCGAGTTCGCTTTCATTAGTTCAATATAACTAAATATTCTTTCGACAGAAATAGAAAAACGAGCAAATTAATTCTAATACTGCGTTTTGGGAATTATCTAAATATATGTTATGCTAGGGTGTATGTATCCAATAAACGTCAAGACCGTTGGATGAAATTAAAAAATGTTGTCTGAACAAATGTCCAATTGTTTTATTTAAAAAAAAATGCACGTTTAAACAGAAAAATATCTAATAACCTCAAATTCAGTAAATTCAGTCCAAAAACCTGATTTCAATTTTTTTCGAGTAACTTATAATTTAAACATTTATTTACACGCATATATTATAAACAAATAACAAAAAACATTTATCAAAGCTGGACATTTTTACATGGTTGTAATATTCTAATCTAAGAAATTTTTAAAAAAAATTGTAAACGCGTGACAAAAACGTTTTTGTATAAAATTAATTCAATTTACTTAAAATTAATCCAATGTACTTAAAAACTGTAAATCACTGTTTTATTTACAAAACATAGTATGACTAATTTTCTAGTTTAAATATTTAACAGAAGGTTTTACATGATATGTTGCCAAGATGCCTGCAAATTATTGGCACATGATTTGCACACTGCTACTGGATATTCCAACTAATAAGGGAATTCAGAGACGACGTTCAAATCACCCTGAATTCAAAGATTTGCACGTTTTTTAGTTTTCCAAATTGTGATTATAACGGAGATATAAGATATTTTGTATGATTTTGATTAGATAAATAGTAATTGGTCCATATTTCTTGATATCTCTATAATTTTCAAAGGTACAGATATTGCAGAGCACATTTTGAAAATCTAATAATAACATTTGTTAGATTCTAACTGTCAAAAGTGAATAATTGCAGAATTGTTCTCATATAAGAAATACGAATTGTAAGTCGTCAAATTATTCCTTTGCTTATTTGGAAACCCTGTTTCACGTGCACTGATTGTACAGTGTACATAGTATAGAATGTACAATACAAACTGTACACTTACAATGATCGTCTGGCAGTGTACAGGATCGTCTGACAGAATGAGGATCGGTGGGTTGTATTTTCTGGATGTATTATTAAGCTGATATCACTTAACTTTAGTATCTGATGCGAGTACTATACACTAAGCCTGTTATTAATCCAATTTAATGAATTTTAACAAGTCTTCAAAAGTTTACAGCTCTTCGTATTTACGCTTTCTGAAAAAAAAATTTTAAAATAAATTATGATGATAATTAATGATGAAATTATGAAAATAAAACAGAAATCCCCAAATCTTTGTTTTCAAAATGTGTGTACTGCAATTTAGGGTAAGAATATAAACAACAGTTTGTTTACGTTCAGCTCCTAGATATTGCAGTACAACTTTTATGTAAACAAAGCTATGAAGGTTCGTGTTGTACAGGGTGTCATGGGACTTCAGTGACGAATTGGATATCGTCTTTGTTATGAAATAGCATTGTAATACCTAATTTCAAAAGCCATAATATTATTAAGTCTGCTAGAGTTTATTTTATGAAAAGGGTAAAAGACTGAAAGATGTGTCTATAATGTCTACGCAAGATGAGCATTGAAAACGGACAAGTTTACTCTGTTTGTATACTGCAATTTTCTTGTTTTACAGTACAACCGTATGCAGTCAAAACATAAACAAACAAAATGTGAGCATAGCAGACGAAACTCTTACGGATTACACTTTCTCAGTAGGTATAACTATAAACTAAATCAAAGAATTATCTAAAAAGACGACATCGAATTCATCATTGAATTCCCATGTTTATTCGGAACTAATTAATAAGTTATAATTAGAACAATATATTAGAAATAATCACGTGAAAGGTTTGAGAATTCAATTAAACTTTAGCTAAATGTCTGCAGAGACATCTCCTAATGTTTTCTTAGAGATACCGTTCACTTATTTGGGTAATTTTTTGGTAAACTAAAAACTATGGCCAATAAAATAAATCGCATTTTATGTTTTTTAAGACTTAAGAACCCCCCCCCCAAAAAAAAAAAAAATGCTTTCTCAAAGAGTTTCCGATTTGGTCCTCTTGTTTGTCAGTTAGTAAAAGAAAGATCTGTTTTTCGCAAAGACTCCCTTTAACTATATCTATTTGATAAAAAGGGACTATACCTGATGAAGCTCATTGCTCGCTCAAACAGTTTTTTATCCTCGTTCATTGAGGAATATCCAAATCTTAAAAAAATAACATGATTTAAGTTTTGATAACATTTTTTTAATTTTATTAAAAAATATGAATTATATTTCTATTTTTTGTGATTTTTTTTAATGAATTACCAATCTCATTTTTGATTATTTTATTTTTATTATTCAATATTGAAATTTTTTTGTGAAAAAATTTGCTCATCCCTTTATCTATGCAACCCGATGCATGATGGTGTAAACCTTACACATATATTACAAACTATAGATTTATTTATCTAATATAATTCATACTGTGACATATCAAAGATTAAGGACATCAGAGACCGAATTTAAAGAATTTGAGCCGCGGCTTAAATCCGGCAAAACCCAGTTTAAATTAAGCGTCGGCTTAAATCTTGAAACATTTGATACAATTTTAAGTGGAACCAACCACATTTAAGCCGCGGCAGAGATTCTTTAAATTCGGCCTCGGGTTAAATTAAATTTTAACTTGAAAAAACTTAGATACATATATTATGCTTTTCTGTCTGTCTATGTGTCTGTGTATCCACAAAAAAGCCGAAATCGACTGAACTAACTTTTCTCTGGTAACCCATATGACCCCAAAGAATATTAATGGCGGCAAATTTGTCAAATTTAGCATGAACAAATTGTTGACATTTTTCATTTTTAAAAATCAGCCATTTTTTAAATCCTTGAACTTTTTGTTACTGATTGACGTCTTGAAAAATAACAGTTAAAACCTAACATTTTAATATAAAAAGGAGCGCAAAGTGCTCTAAAACTTGAATGAAACCTCATGGTCCTTACCTTCCGGAAATAAACCTTCTAGATTTGAATGGAAGAACAAGTTGGAAATTAAATATTTTATCTTTTCGTCTCAGCATGGGAACCCTTAGCTTCCACCTGTACGAATATGCCATTTTTTCTTCTGAAAATAATGTTTTATTATTTAATAATAATCCAAAAATAGATGCATGCGGTGTTGATATTATATTAGTATTATTCATTATCCATTAGCTCTGTCTATTATCTTTTTATATGAAACATATTGATTTATGTACTAATATGTCATATACCTTGTATATATCTATATATGTATACTTTACTTGTCTATCTGCCTATCTGTTTGTATCCATGCAATACATGACCCCATGAAAAGTTTATATAGACTGTCAAAATAAAAAATATCATTTTTAAAAAATCTTCCTTGAAAAGAAATGGTGATATGAAAAGAAAAAAATTAAATTAGCATTTCTAGTAGATGAGAAGCAAAGTGTCCTTAAAGAGTAAAGACTAAAAAGATTAAAAATAATCGAAAATTGTGCAATTTTATTCAGTGTACAGTGTAGAGTGCAAGTACATATTGGTGTCGAAAAACATAATTTATTTATTTGATGAAATATATATAAAAATGATTTTCTAATTAAGTTATAAACAGCGCTTTTCTCATCTCACGTTTCTATACTGAATAATCATTTATTTTTGTCTGTACTTTTGTAAAAACCGAAGTGAAAAACAGTTTTACAATCTTGTTTTGGATGAGATTCAATTCAATTTGAAAACGTTAGTTTTTGTCATTGTCGAAAATAAGGAATTATAAAGAATTAAATGGATTTTAAAATTTCAAAATGTTAAATCGCAACCTGGCTGAAAAAGAAAGAAATTGATTACTGACCATAATTTAATTTTTTTCTTCCATTTTTTTGTAACCTTTGTTATTTAAAACTTTGACTGAAGAGTAATTAATTTTGAATTAGAAAACTTGAATATATATTTAACATTCGTCCTTGATCGGACAAAATATCAGGCCATTACAATCTATTAATGGAAGATCACTAGAAAATACGTAATCAGTCCCTTTAATATTGAAAATCAGTTGAATTTAAAAAAAAATTGGATTTCGGAAAAATGAATTTTTTCGACCATTTTTCCGTTTTCCCTTGATGTTAGTTTACCGTACGTACTTATACTGCATCCAGCAGGGTTTCTTTGTATTTAACAGTTTAAAACAATTGCCCTGAGCAATCACTAGGCCGTGGGATATTTTGTAATGTACAGAATATATTGACTGCTCTATAAATATATAGATACACAGATAGATAAATAGATAGATAGTTATTTATATGCACTGGCTTTTGGACGCTTTGCACCCATCTTCTATTTTAACTTTTAATGGTGGCATCTTCTCTTTGTACAATATAGCAAAGTAAACAAAAAAATTTAATAAAAATCAAAAACTATTTTTGTAATTTTGAGCATTCATAAATAATTCCCTAGGGACATGTAAAGTACGACGCAAAATTGACGTTTATTGGGTACAAATTACTAACAGACAGACAGACATAAAAGCAAAATATATAGATATATTATATACAGGGTTACCCACAAAGGATGAGACTGTAAAGACGACCTGAAACTCTCAAAATGTGTCTTAAATGGCTTATTTAATGATTTGGCAAAGAGCGAAACAGTTTACAGTTGCAGGACGTTATAAATATAAGGAAACAGATAGTATAAATTCTGTACATACAATCGTCTATGAGCTCTCATCCTTTGTGGGTAACCCTGTAGATATAATACAATTTTTTAGGAAACCCAAGGGATACTTTAGGGGTTCCATAGGCTTTAATTTTGAGATTTAAAAAAATTCAAAACATAATTTTTTTTTTCAGAAGTGTTATTAAAATGTTACGAGTGATATAGTGATATGTTTTTTTTTGGTGTTGAACTGATATAAAATACCATGGCGAAAAAAAATATTTAAAAATTGAAAATGAATATCTTTCATACAAAATATGACTGATTATTAATCGTATCACAACGATCCTCACTTAGCGATTTGTACTTTTAAACCACTAGAGAGGAAGATTAAACTACTTTAAAAGTTTAATTTTGAGAGAGTAATTGGCAAAATGTTTAGGGGTTTCTGCCTGTTTTAAGTCAGGGTGCGGTACCATGCACATTTAGTGTTTACGCACTCAGGTAAGCCAAGAAACTGTGCGCTGTATACTAAAACACACTATTTATACTACTGAGAATCACTGCCATGCAATGATGCAGTAAACACCAAAAGCATAGTTAAGGGGTAGAGGCAACCCCCGTACTTTTGTGTAATAGTTTTTAGTGTAAATGATTTTATTTGATTTGATTCGAAGATTTCAAACGTAATTAATTTTAGAAATGATGAAAATTCATGTTTTAGCGGATTAATTTCCATCTTGTCAAAAATATGTCATACTTGAGCTGAGTATTAAAGAAATATATAAAACATTAAATCCACGGTGTAAATGAAAAATCATACATTTAAACCATTCTGCCGTATATTTATGAATATTGAATACTGTATTTTATATTAAACAATATTACACACAGTGATAATAGGATTTTATTACACACTAGCTGAAGTTCCCGGCGTTGCCCGCAAAAAATTTAATTTCTAAATTTTTTTAGCCTATGTGAGTCCCCTGGCACCCATGGGTTCCCTCAACAAATGTCAGCCCATCAAAAAATTAATGAGAGACATTTAGCCCAAATTGTGAATGGAAAATTCATCAGATGTTTAACCTAAGATTCATCACGAATATAATGAACACTTGATTTGATATTAAACCCAAAGTGTATTTTTTTAGTCAATGAAGAATATAAAAGACATTTAACCCACCGTGGATTAAAATTGTGTTTCATTTAACAGTTATTTGTTAGGTTTGAATCTTGTATATTAGTTGAGGGAAGTACTTTATCCTACCATCCATCCATCCACCTTCAAACACGTCAAATTATATTCATCCTTCCGTCTTTATCAAAACATATTTACTCTTCCGTTAGATCAAATATTCTTCGGGCATCTTGAAGCAACGCGCACATCATTCTTATGCATGAGAGTTGCGCCATTTTTAATCAGAAGCTTACGCCATTATCCCTAGAAGTTTACGCCATTATCGTTGTTGTCTTTGTTGTTGTTGTTTCTGTTGTTGTTGTTGTTGTTGTTGTTGCTGTTTCTGTTATTTTTGTTGTTGTTGTTGTTTCTGATATGTTGTTGTATATTGTTGTTGTTGTTGTTGTTGTTGTTGTTGTTGTTGTTGTTGGTATTGTTGTTGTTGTTGTTGTTGTTGTTGTTGTTGTTTTTGTTTTTGTTGTTGTTGTTGTTGTTGTTGTAGTTGTTGTTGTTGTTGTTGTTGTTGTTGTTGTTGTTGTTGTTGGTATTGTTGTTTGCTGTTGATGTTGTTGTTGTTGTTGTTGGTGGTTTTGTTGTTGTTGTTGATGTTCTTGTTGTTGTTGTTGTTGTTGTTTCTGTTGCTGTTGTTATTGTTGTTGTTGTTTGTATTGTTGTTGTTGTTGTTGCTGTTGCTATTGTTGTTGTTGCTAATGCTTTTGTTGTTGTTTTTGGTATTGTTGTTGTTGTTGTTGTTGCTGTTGATGTTGTTGTTGTTGTATTGTTGTTGTTGTTGTTGTTGTTGTTGTTGTTGTTGTTGTTGTTGTTGTTGTTGTTGTAGTTGTTGTTGTTGTATTTGTACTTATTGTTGTTGCTGTATTTGTAGCTATTGTTGTTGTTTATGTTGTTGTGTTCGTTGATGTATTGTTATTGTTGTGGTTGTTGTTGTTTTTGTTGATGTATTGTTGTTGTTGTTGTTGTTGTATCATTATTAATTAAAGTCTTACTGTAGTTTCCCAAGGTATAAATTAATGTTAATTAATCTATCTCATTATAACATGTTGTTAACTGGTTACATCAATTATTTATCATTATTAAAGATTATTGAAATAGTATAACACAGACGTTACAATAGATGTCCCTCCACCTTTTAATTTCCAAATTTAAGAAATTGTAAATTGTGATAGAAAATTTAAGAATAGTTTAACGAGTCTAGGGGCCGGGGGGTTACATATATGCAAAATTACAATGCTTGTTCTTTAGCCAATTTTTAAAACTTATAAATTCATTAATGCACTCAAGAAAAAATTCAAAAATTCGAAATTTATTATCTCAAATATTATCAAAATTCAGCTTCTTATTTCAAAAATACGAATGGTTAGGGTAAACAACTAGAGACCGAGGGGGGGACACCAGGGTTAACAACTAGAGACCGAGGGGGGGGGGGGTTGACACCAGGGTATTTAGGGTTGTTAAGTCGTCTGTTAAATACTTTGTCTCTTGACCATAAGAATTATAATAAACGATGTGCATATATTCACACGAATGTGTTTACTCTTTAATTTTCAAATTCCCCCCCCCCCTTCCCCGTACCTTTATTCAAGCGTTACCCCCCCCCTTTCCGTTCATATCATTGACCTTCCTTCCTTACTTTGAAATAACAAAACTACCTATTAACTGCTTAAGTGCTTAACTACATGTCATATATGTAAATTGTAAGTATCTCTTTGAGTTGCATTTGCTATCTATGCATGTGTCTCTTGATATGTTTTATTTCGGACAACATTTAGTTTAATTTCATGGTCTCCTTTAAACTTAATATTCACAAATTCACAAGTCCTTTAGAATTTAGTTTTTATTTTGAATTTTATGTTTTATTGTTTACTATAGCTTGGGAACTCTACTTTGCACGAAAACCAAACTAACCCACTCCACTACAAATTGTTTGAACGAGCCATGGTGGTTTCACGAGCTTTGACGTGGTTCCAACGAGATTAGCCGTGCTCTAACAAGCTTAGCCGTGATTCCAACGAGCTTAGCCGTGATTCCAACAAGCTTAGCCGTGGCTCCAACGAGATTAGCTGTGGTTCTAACACGCTTCGCAATGATTCCAACGAGATTAGCCTTGGTTCTAGCGAGCTTAGCCGTGGTTCCAACGAGATTAGCCGTGGTTACAACGAGCTTAGTCGTGGTTCAAACGAGATTAGCCGTGGTTCCAACGAGATTAGCCGTGGTTCCAACGAGATTAGCCATAGTTCCAACGAGCTATAGCCGTGGTT